AGCAGACACAGTCAAGAGAAAGCGTAGGGCTTAGAAGTCAGGGCTGCCTCCCCAGTCTTGGGCCCAGGCAGTTGGGTGGCTGCGAAGAGCTCACAGCAGGTTTGGGGCAGAGGAGTTCTGTGTTAGGCTTCTGGTATCTGTGGATATCCAGGTGGAGGTGGCCAGGAGGCAGCTGGGTACACATGGGGGGCTGTAGCTCATAGGTGTTCGTTCCTCACTACCTGACTACAAACCCTCCACCACACTCATATGCTCCTCAGCCCCCAGGGGTGCCAGTTCCTGCCCCTCGAGTCGTGTCATTTCACAGTAGGGCCTGTGGACTTATGATGATGGACACAGTGGCCCTGTGACTAGAAAAGAGGGGCTTGGAGGACTGAGCTCTGTGACTCAGTAGATATGGAGAGAACACCGCAGAGCCCCCTGGCCAGCCTCTGCCCCAACTGCCTGTGTAACCCTGTGCTGCTCTCCCCACACAAATGACTGGGAGCCACGATGCTGTGGTAGGGGCAAGAAAGCAGGTGCTCTTGCTTTTGCCAGCAGAGAAATAAGAGTTTGGGCACCCACCCAAGGGTCCGGGGGGTGCCCTATAGCTACTGACCGCCTCCCGCTGCAGCAATGCTCTGAGCAGTCAGCACCGATGCACAGAGGAGGTGTGGGTCTGCCCACACAGCCCAGCCTCCCTGGCACCCGATCCTGCTCTTTGTGTGAAGCTGAGCGCTTCACGGAGACTGGGCCTGAGGCACCCAGTGTTGGGGGAGGGCAGAGGTTTAAGGAGAAAGAGAGACTGAAAACTAGAATATGCACATTACTATTCAGAAAGAAAAGGGGTTGGAGGAGACTAGAGTCCTGGGAAGAGGAAGCAGGGAGGAAAAAGAAGATTCTGGAATAAGTAAGATTCTGGTGACATGCTTCTGAGTCTAGCTTCTGCCTGGGTCCTCTGGAGAGAGAACTGGCCAGGTCCGCCCTGTGCCCCAGCACCCCACCCAGCTGCGGCTCCAGCTCCCGAGGCCAGTCTGTGCTCCAGCAGCCCCCTCCCTGCAGTTCGCCGCCCTCCCTGCTGGGCCTCCCTCTGTCTCGCACCCCATCTGCTCCAGGCTTCTGCTGACGAGCCTTTGTAACTTCATCACGGGTGCATTTCTCTTTAGACACTCCAGATGGTTAATGCCTTTCTGCAGCATCAAAGTGCCCCTTTCGACTGGGAAGGAATTGCCAGGGTCCCCATGCCAGAGAGTTGAGCAGGGCAGCTGGGCATCTCCCACAGCTGGCATGGCCCCCATCCTCTGGGGAAAAAGGGGTCTCAGTGCAGTCAGCTTCTTCAGAAGGCAGACATGTTGAGAAGTGCTTGCCACCTCTGCTGGGTGACTCTGGGGAAGTCCCCCTCTCTGGCCTCTGTTTCCCCATCTGGACAGTAAGCATCCTTGGCAGGATGATTCTTGATGTGCCAGGATTCATTCCTGACCTGCTCCCACAGCTGTTGGTATGTCCGTCTTGTCACTGAGCCTTCAGTGTCTCTTGTCTCCCCCACCAGCCTCAAGGGCAGCAATTCCTCTTGGTGTGCCCACCTGCCACTCTAGGGAAGGACTGCTGAATCCTTTCTGCAGGTTGGCTCTTGGGAAACTATCGTGTTGGAAGCTGAGAGGGTATATCCCCTGCTTTCTAGAACCTTTGTTGAAGGAGACTTACCAGCTGCAGACACTGGCAGCTGGGATCAGTGGGGGCTGTGGTAAGGAGTGGGTAGAGTGCCCTTAGGAGGGTGCTTTGGGCAGAGCCTGGCATTAGCCCTGACCTTGCTGCCAGTCTCAGAGAAGGTTAGGGTGCCACTACGACAGGCAAGGACAGCCCACCGGGAACCAAGAACGTATTCATTGCAAGGAAAGTTGGCCCGAGAGCAGTGAGCATCTCGAAAGGACTGCTGTTTGGAATCCAGAGAGCTGAGTGACCCATCAGGGCCTGCTAAATAGATGGAAATGGCACTAACACAGCCATTCATTGAGAAGAAGAATTAAATTCAGAGGCAGCATTGGTACAACAGAAGGAGCCCTGGGCCTGGAGCACCTGCTTTCCTGGCCACACCTTGAGATTTTCAGAATAATTGTTAGGTAGGTGGAGTGTACCAATCTTTTGCAAGTAAGAATTTACACATCTTTCTTTTGTATAAAGGGATCTGAGTTTGAATCCTGACAAGGCACTTCACCTCTCTGAGCAAGGGGCATGAATCCTGGCACAGTTTTCCTCCTCTGCACAGCAGGGATGGATGATGGTATTGTTCATGTCAAAGATGATACAGCTACTCTGTAAGCAAATCTTTGTAAAAACACGCAGCACAGCTTTCAGTCCAGGCACATTTTCCTTTCTTCCTGTAGACCAAGGGTTCTCTATTCTAACTGAACATTTAGAATTACTAAGGAGCTCTTTAAAAATACCAGTGCTAGGACCATGTTCCAGACCAATTGAAATAGAATCTCTAGGGGGTGGGACCCAGGCTTTGGATTTTTTTTGTTTTCTTTCTTTTTCTTTAACTCCTTAGTGAATCTATTGTGCTGTATACAGTGTAGCGATCATCACCCATTAATCAGATATTAATTCATTTCAACCCCAAGGAGAATAGGCTTGATCTACAATAAAGAGTTAATGGTAAATGAGCACTGGTTTAAAGAAAAAAAAAAAAAAAAGAGTTAAGAACCGTGACTACCCAGATATGGTTGAATAATAGTCATTTCGCACTTGTCTCCCTCTCTAGGACTACTTCCCAGCACCCCAGCCTCCTGCCATGTCCGACCCCATCACGCTGAACGTCGGGGGGAAGCTCTACACCACCTCACTGGCCACCCTGACCAGCTTCCCCGACTCCATGCTGGGTGCCATGTTCAGCGGGAAGATGCCCACCAAGAGGGACAGCCAGGGCAACTGCTTCATTGACCGTGATGGCAAAGTGTTCCGCTACATCCTCAACTTCCTGCGGACCTCCCACCTGGACCTGCCCGAGGACTTCCAGGAGATGGGCCTGCTCCGCAGGGAGGCCGACTTCTACCAGGTGCAGCCCCTGATTGAGGCCCTGCAAGAGAAGGAGGTGGAGCTCTCCAAGGCCGAGAAGAATGCCATGCTCAACATCACTCTGAACCAGCGTGTGCAAACGGTCCACTTCACTGTGCGGGAGGCGCCCCAGATCTACAGCCTCTCGTCCTCCAGCATGGAGGTCTTCAACGCCAACATCTTTAGCACCTCCTGCCTCTTCCTCAAGCTCCTTGGCTCCAAGCTCTTCTACTGCTCTAATGGCAACCTCTCCTCCATCACCAGCCACTTGCAGGACCCTAACCACCTGACTCTGGACTGGGTGGCCAATGTGGAGGGCCTGCCGGAGGAGGAGTACACCAAGCAGAACCTCAGGAGGCTCTGGGTGGTGCCCGCCAACAAGCAGATCAACAGCTTCCAGGTCTTCGTGGAGGAGGTACTGAAAATCGCGCTGAGTGATGGCTTCTGCATCGATTCTTCTCACCCACATGCTCTAGATTTTATGAACAATAAGATTATTCGATTAATACGGTACAGGTAAAGGGACCCCAGCAACACTGGAGAGGGAAAGTCCCAAGAAGCTTATGTCAGCCATGGTCTTGGAGAGTGTCTCGCCAGTAGCGTGAGGCAGGGTACCATACTAATCTGTACTAACTGCATAGCAGGACTTGATTCCTCCGTGATGAAGTCCGCCTTTCGGAATTCACATGTCCTCCGAGCAGAACCACCTTTTTTCTTGCCATTCTGAGCTGGAGATGGGCAGTTTATTATGACAAGTGAAGAGTCAGCTGATGTGTGCTAAAGGAGGCTACAGGAGGACTTTCTGGCCGGGACAAAGGAGCAGCAGTTTTCTTATGGGGGCCCTCTCTGTCTGCACCACTAGCCAGTGCCGCATTTACCCATCTGTGAAAGGCCCCTGGAGAGGGCATGGGACAAGAACAAGAGGCTCCCTTTGGTCTCCCAGAACATGAAGAGCCCAGTGGTGCCCATCACACCTGCTCTTCCCTCCCCCAGTTGCATCCAGAACCTTGGACTGGTTTGCCCAGGGGCAACCGTGTTTGGAATGCAGAGTGTTCTCAGGGCTCTGTTAGTGTCCTCACTGGGAGAGAGAGCTGAGCTGTGTCATGATCCAGAGGAGGGGGTATCCAGGCAGGGTTCTGGACGTGGGGATGTTCCCTCAACAGGGCCGAATCTAAGCATTCCTGGCTTCAGGAGTGGGCTGCTGTCCCTGTGAAGATTTGAAAGCATCTGGAACCAGTCTGACATGCTTTAGAATCCAGCCTGTTGCCTGACTTTCATAATCCTTTTCCCAAAAATTTGAGGTATCATTGAAACAGGTCATTTTAAGCAAATGTATTATGGATTCTCAGGGTTGGAAAATAATTCAAGAATTCCTTGGTCCTCCCCTGTCCCAAGCACACCCCAGCACATGTGGGGGTCAGCACCTCTCCCTGAGTACCTTCAAGCGGTCACCTGTGCCTGCTTGTGTACACCTGGTGACAGGAAGCTCACCTTCCCCAGGCCGGTTCCTGTTATGGTGGGATGGTGCTGACTGTTAGAAAGTTCTTCTTTATATTGAGCCAAAATCTGTCCTGCCACTTCCATGTGCTGGATCTTGGTTGCAGACCTTCTTTCTCATGTAAATCGGTATCTTCACTTTCAGAATAGTCATCCTAAGAGGCCAGATGCTTATTCTGAAGATATCGTTACTCAGAATTCGGATTCCCCTTTGGGATCAGTCTTCAGAATCAAAGTTGGCTCGTTTCCATCTCCTGTCAGTCAGTCCCCTTTTGTTACAGCTTCACCTTGTTTGTGACCCCACTTCACCCACCTTCCCTGCCCACCATGGCTCCACATGCCCTCTGACCACCGTCTGTTGGAAGCCCCTGAGAAGGTCCAGAGGAAAGAGACAGGATCTCCGCGGGCAGTGTGCAGCGAGGAGCCCAGGAGTGGTCCGAACCATAACGATGCCCCTGGATTGAGTGTCCAGCCCCTAAGACACCACTCTCAGGGAGGCAGCCTTCCCCTGTAATACTGTGTCTAGCTGTGACTAGCCCGTGGGTCCCCTTGGGGTGCCATCCAGGACAAGCAGCCCTAAGCCACTACTTCCTATCAGGTGATGAGCCATGCAGGCCTCCAAACTGCATGTTATGATTCACCCCTGGAGTGTGGCCTTGGGAGTCCTGCAGTCTTCCCCACCGGGCAGCGGCCCTCAGGCAAAGCCAGGGAAGCCGGGTGACACAGTCACCCACGGAAGGAGCTTCCCACAGTTATACCCTGTGAGTAGGGGGCTTGTGTGCTGGGCTGTGGGCAGGGCCAGGTCCCTCAGGCATTAAAGCCTTTCCCTCCGCTACATTGGGACTCAGGAGTCTTTGTGACAGCTGTCCCAGGCCACCAGGCCAACATAACTTGGAAAAGCCCCTCAAGGAAAACCCAGTTAGACCAGGCAACAAAAGCTGTGACTACAACAAACAATTCAAAGAAGAAATGTCATAAATCATCACTGCCCTTTTTTCTTTCCATAAAACTACTTTCACCATCTTGTGGTGCTTCCTAATTCAAGCAGCTTGACTTTAGGGAAATTACAGAACCTGTGAAGCCACTAACAGGCCATGTGTGGCTTTGTGCAAGTCACTCACCTCACTGAGCCACCTCCGTTTCTTCATCTGTGAAATGGGCATAACAGTAATATGTAACCGTACCTACCTCACAGGACTGTTGTGAGGATCAAATGAAATAATGTATGTGAGAATACAGTATAAATGTTAAATGACTGTTACCATTTTGCGTCTGCTTATAAGGGGGAGAAAGACACCAGTCTTAAGTCAGCCTGGCTCAGGTTTGAATCCTGGCTACATTTCTTGCTCTGTGACCTTAGACAAGTCACTGAGCCTCTCTGATTTGTTTCTTCATTGGGTAACATTCCCCCTCCTCCTGGGTCATACAACTTAAATGCGTTGGTGTGTGTGAAAATTCCTAGCTAGGCGTGCCACATAGGAGCTCAGTAAATGCTCGCTCTTACAGGAGGTGGTAACGGTGGACTCTCGTGCCAAGAACGGAGAGTTCCAGTTTAACCAGCTCTTTCAGGGCACTAGGTGTGCAGGCTCTGAGGGTGGGAACAGCCACAAATAGGTTCAGCTACATTCGCCTGGGAAAAGGTTAGGGCTTCACACAGTGTGCTGTGGGAACTTCGGGAAAGAGCCTCACAAAGGGCTTTGTGGAGGGTCAAGCTGTGCCTTTGGGTAGGTTGGATTTTTTGACAGAATAAGCAAGGAGGGCACCACAGGTGCAGGGAACAGCAAGAGCTGGCAGCCAGCCAGGGAGGGTGATCAAGGAAGGGTGTGCACTCACGCATATCCGCAGCACAAGGGGAGCAACAGGTTGTACGTTCGAGGCAATCTCATCGCACCCACATCTAACTTAGGTGAGTTCAGCCATCTGCTTAGCAAAAATGTGAGAAAGGGAGCAAACACCAAGCAGTGCAGCGGTGCCGTCCCAGCGCTCCAGTGAGTCAGAGTGGAGAGAACTGGGAGGCAGAGTGTGCTTCTTGTGAGCCCCTCACTGCCCTGAGTGAGACCCAGTGGTGATCTCACCCGGACTCAGTTTAGCCTTTTGTATACAGCCCGGGGCTCCATCCAGCTGAAGGGGAATGTCAGGCACACAGCACTTGCTAGCTCTCTGTTCCTGCTCTAGGTGTGGGCCATGCACGCAGAGGGATGGTCGGAACAGGTGCTCAGGGGAACCGTAAGGCACCTTGGTATGACCACGTCACGAGGCCTGCCACAAAACAGGGTTCCCGCATGCTTGGGGGCCAGCAGCAGCCACCACCTCAGACCACTCCGTGATCTCACACCCTCAGGACCTCCAAAGGCCCTTTCCCCTTTTATGAAGGGCTGAGCCTCATGACCCTGTTCTGCCTTTGGGCCAGAGCGCCCAGTGCGGGAGCGGCCAAGATCCCCCTGTCCACACCTCAGTCTTTGGAGCCTGGGATGCAGCCATTCTGTTTTGTAAACTGCCATGCAGCCTAAATTATATAGCATTTGTGTAACTTATTTACCTCAAACTGCAGCTTCCTTTTATAGATTACTCCTGAAACACTCTGTTGTGAACATGGGCTTAGCCACGGTCAGCCTTGGGCCAATGTCTTGGCTCATGTGGCCAGAGCACCAGCCCATCCCTGTCCTGAATTGCAGTCTCTTCACACTGACCGCCTGTGCCTGCCTGTATCCCAGGGGGCTCAGGCTGATGGGGGCAGTTGGCAAGGAAATGAGGCCTGGGATCATCTCTCAGAACGAAACAACCTTGATAACAGGGCCATCAAAGGGAGGGGCCGGGCCCGCTTCCAGGCCTTGCAGGGTCCTGGCTCTGGCAGCTCCATCTGCCCAGACAGCCCAGAGACTTCAGTCTCCTTCAGAACCTTTGGGACAGTGTGGCACCAGCAGAGCTGTGGAAACAGTGTGGTGACACACTTACCCCAGCCTGGATCACAAGGACCAAAGGGGACCCTGAGGAACAACATCGACCTGTGGAAGCCAGAGAATCACCGAGTGACCCAAGATCACCCAACACAAAGGACTGCAAAACAAGCTTTGAGGTGGTTCTTTCTGGCTCTCACTCTCAGAGGCAAGAAGTGCATACACAGCCTGGTGTCTCTGACCCTTGCCACCCCCTTCCCTGGTCCCATTTCCTGCCAGCTTCCCTGCCACCCCCCAGTATACACAGCATTCCAAAGCCTTTGTCAGCAGTTCCCAGTTAGCTGGCAGCCCTAGAGTGTTCTAGCCTGTTCTCTTCCTTATGCCAGGCCCTTCCACCCAAAGCCAAGGTTCCCTTTTACTAAAAAGTTGGGTAAAGGCCCAGATGAGACACATTTGAAATCCTCTAGGGCTGCAGTCCGTAACCACAAGGCCACGGAGAAGAAGAAAAGCTCCAAAGTGTAAAGAGGGCTTTTCCAAATGTTGCACGCACATGGCAGTGTATGGGACAGAGTGGCCTGGGAGTTAGGGTTACTGGGGTCCAGCCTTCACTCTTCCCACCCTGGCGGTTGACCAGGCCAAGTCCCTCCGCCTCTCTGGACCTGTTTCCTTGTAGGTAAAGCAGTGGAGTTTAGTCACTTATTCCACAGATGTGAACCGAGCACCTTCCCTTCGGAGGCAGTGCGCTGAGGGCTGGGGACATAGAGCATGAGATGTGGCACCTGCTTCGGGAGAGCTCTGTCAGACATGCAGGCAGCTGTCCCTGCATTCTCTCCCTCAATCCTTGTAATCACCTTTTGAGGTAGGCAAGGCTGGTATTTCATCGCCGTTTCATGGATGAAGTCATTGAGAGTGGCAGAGTTTGGACCTGCTCTGCTCTACTCAGAGCCAGTTCTTTTTCCTCTTCACCTTTGATGATCAGTCATAAGTCTCCTTCTAGCACATTTCCAGATTCTATGCCAAAAAATAGCCAACAAATGTCACATTCTGACAGTCCCCTACAGGTTCCCTCTCTCTTAGCAGCCAAATAAGGGAGAACCTCTCTCTGCTCAGGAATAGTGGGGCAGGAGGCTGGGTGGGGGGCTCAGTTTGTCTAATCTGGCTTCTTTTCTAAGGCGGTGAGGAGAGCCATGTTTCCATGGAGTGAACCGCCCCCTCACCCCAGCTGTCCATTTACACTCATGGGAGCGTTACTGGTGTGATATGCCATTGGAGTATTCCACTTTGCCTGGCCATTTTATGCCCAGCAGCACTTAATACAGTCCAGCATTTCACACTGGAAAATATAGAAACCACAGGGCTTCTCCATCACTGAGTGGTATGTTCACGAGTTCATGTTCACAGGGTGAAAGGGTGGGAGAAGACACTAGGGGCCAGTTGCTAGCCAGAAGTCCCCATGGCAGCCCGATCAAGGGATTTTGGGGTCTCTGTTTGCCTGTCTCTATGGGTGGGAAGATCAGGCTACCATCCTTCTCTGGCAAGAAGACACTTTAAGCTGGTAGAGATCAACTCTACCTTGCTGCATTTTGATGAGGAGGGTTTCAGGTCAAGGACAGTGAAGTAATTTGCTCAAGGTCACCTGGAATGTCAGTGGAAAAGCCTGGACCAGAGTCCTGATGCTTTGAAGCCTGGTTCTGTCCTTGGCCTCACAGTTGGGAGGAAATAATCCCAAAGGAGGATTCAGACTGGGTTCCCACTTCAACTTGGCCACTTAACTTGAATTAATGATATTCAATCAATCTAATATTAGCCGAGGCTAGGGCCTACTATGCGCTAGGCACGACACTTACATGTAGTGTGACCATAGGTGAGTCATTTCACCTCCCTGAACCTCAGTTTCCCATCTACAAAAAACAGGCACCTCTTGTACAGCTTCTCTCAGAGCTCTATGAGGTTTAAACGAAGAAAAGGAAGTAAAGTGCTTTATAAACTGTAAAGCGCTGTCTACATTAAGGGGCTATTGCTAAAGCTGGCCATGCTATCCCTGTGGTCCACTATACCTGAAGCAGACTTCCACCTAGCAATGGCCAGCATATTGGAATTTGTTTGCCTGTCTCTCTCCCCGTCAGACTCCCCAAGGGAGGAATGTGTGGGGGTCATCTTTGATTTCCCAGAGCCCAGCCCTGGGCCTGCCATATAGGAGGTGCTTAACAGAGTTTGTGAACAGAGTCCATTCAGGAAGCTATAACAATATACTGTAAACTGGGTGGCAGAAATATATTTCTTACAGTTCTGGAGGCTGGGAAGTCCAAGGTCAGCTTTTTCTCCCATCTTTTCTCCCACCTGACCGAGGATGAGAGAAGTGTCAGGTCCTGGGCTGCAATGGACTCACTTGGCAGTGAGATGGGCCAAGGGAAGATGTGCCTGGAGCTTGTTTATGTTTGGAAGGCTTTGGGGCCTTGTAACATTTTCGATGTTTTCTTTTTTTTTTTTTTTTGCTTTGCTTTAAAGAAAATCCAGACAAACCAGAAAACACTTCCTCTGCAAAGGCCCTACCATTTTAAGAAAAAGGAAGGAGGATTCATCTCGTGAAGTCTGTCCAAGTTGACTCAGTGCCCCGCTGGCCAGAAGCCCCAGCTTGAGTTTGGAGTGTTTTGTTCTGCTGTTTTTGAGGACTGGGTCAGCAAAATACATCCCAGGATCACTTGTCTGTTTTTCCCTGTTGCCTCATGACTTCCAGACAAGGCTAGCCAAAACTCACTCTCCCACCAGCACTCTCAAAGAAGTCCTCTTTGGCATGAAATGTAAGACAGAATTAAGAAAGGCTCAAAGATGCAGGAAGGCTTTTCCAAATGTTCCATGCCCAGTCGGGGTGGCGTAAGAGAGAGCTGGGCTGGCCATCAGGGGTCCCGGGGTCTGGCCTTAGCTCTTTCTCCCACCTGCTGTGTTATGTGGACAGGTGCCTCTGTCGCTCTGACTTGTTACCTTGTGCCTGAAGCAGTGGAGTCAGTTATTCACTCAACGTGTTATGTTCGTTGAAAACATGAACGAATGACCTTCCACAGGCAGCACTGTGCTGAGGGCTGGGGACACTGAGCACAAGACGTGATCCCTATTTTAAGAGAGCTCGCAGCCCAGGGCTGGGAACAACCAGAAAAGAGAACAAAGTAGAGAAAGTCACCTCCTTTCTCTAGCTGGAAAGGCAGGTGGGGTCAGGGAGGGAGTATTAGAGCTGGTTATTTATTTATTTATTTATAGTACTTTGAGTCACTGTTTCATGCACTGGACTTTAAAGGGCAAGTAGAGTTTGCTAAAGCCAGAACCTGGGGAAGGGCATTCCAGCAGAGCAAAGGCTTGGCAACTTGAA